GTTTACAGACCCCCGAAATGCCAGCTTCATATGGATGAGAGGCTGGTTTGGTGAAAAATTTGTAAATTTAGGCCAGGGTTTGACTTTGTGTGGACGGGGCCTTAGTTGGGAGTTGCAAACTCCATGATCTCCATTTCTTTAGCTTGTTGACTAATTGTATGCATGCACAGTGATGTATTCCTGGTCACATGATGTTTTCATGGTTAATATACACAGAAAGGACACAGTTACTAACACATTGAGCAAAAACTAAGCTTAGAGGACAAAATTTAAAATATGGCAGCAGCTGCAAAAAATTTAAATCTAAATAAGTAATTTTTGCTTAAAATAATTGTTTTTTTCTTGAATTGAGCAGGTAAGTGAGACGCTTTGCCAATAGAACCAGATAATTTGTATTTAAAACAAGAAAAAACTATTGCAGTGTCCTATTTTAGGTGCATAATATCTAATTATCTTACTTTAGGAGTAAATATACTCATTCCATTGGCAAATCGTCTTATTTACCTACTGAAATTAAGGGTAAATACACTTAATTTTAGAAATTTTTTACTAATTTCTAGATTGTTTTTGCAGTGAGGGCACTGTAATTAGTCACAGAAACGTTGTATGCAAAGAGCATAAGTTACTGGTGTATGCATTTCAAGAGAAATATCAAGAAATGTGTCATAGTACCTTTAACGTTCAACGTGCATCATGAATTGGACTGAATTTTAAAAAACATGAAAGTTTGTTTGAATGTTGGGCTCGAACCTCAAGAGCTTTTACATTCTCATTAACATCGCATCAAATTTGAAGTGCAGGAGAAATGTGTTACCTTTAAAAGGACTATCTGCATACATTACATCCCATCCTAATGGATTATTTGGACTTTATGAGCTGGAATGAAAAGTGCTCTCAATGTTAGAATTAACATATAGATGTTGACATGAAGGGAACTCATTATGCTGGAATAACCTCCTCCCCTCCTTCCCACTGTGCACCAACATCTGACCAACCGTTGCTCTCCCAGGACCCGTTTGATGCAGAGCTTCAAAGAGTCGCACTCCCATGAGTCCCTGCTGTCTCCCAGCAGCGCTGCCGAGGCGCTGGACCTCACTCTGGATGAGGACGCCATCATCAAACCTGTTCACTCCAGCATCCTGGGACAAGAGTACTGCTTTGAGGTGAGAGCTGCGGTGCATGACGGAGCAGTAACAGCAGAGGAACACTCTAAGCAGAGAGAACACAAAATAAACCCCATCATCAAGTTTTGTTTCTAAAATCAGCATTAATTTGATGAGGTTTTCCATCACCTTTCATTAGTGGAAACTTTAGCCTTTGTTTTGGCGCCTTAGTTGCTCTCTCCATAGTGACTGATGGCTGTGGTACCGTTGCCTATAACCTCAGGTGACAACGGCTTCAGGAACCAAGTGCTTTGCGTGTCGTTCAGCCGCAGAGAGAGACAAATGGATCGAGAACCTGCAGAGAGCTGTCAAGCCCAACAAGGTGAGGGGAGAGAAAGGGATGCGGATGATCCCCGTGTCTGTGTGTCTCTCTCTCTCCTCCCCGTCTCCTGTTGTTGTTGTTTGTTTTTTCCAATAAGAGCGCACCGCTTCATTTCTCTGTGTGAACTCCATCCGCATGTCTGTGTGTGTGTGTGTGTCTGTGTCGAACAATTTAGCTGCGTCTGCGAGCAAAGTGTTAGAGCCTCACAGGGTAATGTTTCAGGACGGAGGGTCTCGATTGCTGTTTCAAAAAAAAAAAAAACGCTAATCGGGTAATGTGATTTAGGTAAATTGTGCACAGCAGGTTGATGTGCAGCAGCTCAGCGTGTCTGTGAAAGCTGATGCTCAATGATAGTGAGTCGCTGGGAGGAGAGGAGAGAAAACAAGCCGACATGGCCGACTCCGGGGCTTTCTCACTGCTGGGCCTCCTGCGTGAACCAGTTCATCAAGATGGGATATGCACCTGATCTTGTTGCCTTTAAGTGGAGTTAATTTCCTAAATGTATATTTCTATTGGACAGAGTTATCTAATAAAATGACTAGACAACATTACAGAGGGATGTCAGTCCAAGTGAATAATCAAGAGCTAAGGGTGGAAATGGAGCCTCATCTACAGACTAATGTTCAAAACTCTGATTTTTTTTTTATGTAATTCACAACTCAACACTAGGGATGTACGATATAATCGCCCCCCTATCGGTATCGGCCTTAAAACTGAATATCGGACATCGGCCATCCCACCGATATTT